TTGACAGAATTTTTCTCTTTAAGCCGTAAGGACTTTTTTTTAAGAAATATATTTTATTACTGCGCTTAACAAAAATGTTAGTTTTAGCCTTTTATTTTTTTAAACAGTGAAGTTTCAATTTATAGAGTGACTAGGTTTTAAAGAATCTCGAATTGAAGCTAGACAACCAAAAGAACGTTACACAAGTAATTTTTAAATTCGTTACCAACCTTTTTTTTTTTGGACACAAAGTATAGCGGAAACATCTAGTTCAATTAAAATAGTAAGCACAATAGAATCAACTCGTAAAAGGGCACCTAAGGCATAAAATTAATATTAGCTGACGAAATACTACTGTTCTAATGAATAATCCAACTGGCAGTTATCATTACGTAGAGACTCTTTGTAATGATCCTGATAAGGACTTTGAGATTCTTGACTATGTTAGCATTGGGGATAATTCTGAAAGTCTTGAGCAACCAACATCTTCACTTTTGTCTAAATATAGTACAAGCAGCCCAGAAAGTGATATAAATCTATACGATAGTTCACATGATATACAATTTGATACATCAGCAATCGGATTAGCTAAGGCATATGCCAATTCGTCATCAACAACAATGCAAGAACGAGATAATGAAATTGATATAAATTGGTTGGCACAAGACCTTGATATAACGTCTAATAGAGAATCATCATGGGATACGACTATTTGTCATGAAAATGAATTAACTCTAGAATTTAATTCTGGTGGTGTTAAGCAGTTGAATGAGACATGCATCATAGTAGACGATTTAAATGGAACATTACAACGATGTCCTCATCCTGCAGAGAAACCATTGAAACAGCTTGGAGGGATTTGGGAGCTGGATTTTGATACGGTGGATGAAATTGTTATGAAATCAAAGGGTGATGGTTTGAATACACTAGGGGTTTGCAAAAGCCACTTTAATTATGATAACAAACAATTACATGAATGTCAAAAAACAGAAGTTTCTATTGATAGAGCAGTAATTCGTCGAAAAAGATGTTTATTCTGTGGACACTATAAGTATGTATTTAGTTGTGGGTATTGTACAGAACATTCGTGGAAATTATGTGATTGGAACATACAAATAGTTTGCAATGGATTGAAAGTTTGTCATGTGTTTCAAGAGAATGAATTTACTAAACAATCATCTAGTTCTAGACGTGTACGATATATATGTATGTCATGTTTTACATCTGAAGAAGGTCATTTGTATGAGCGAAAAGGGCGGGTTTCTGTCCCTCCATTTGATTGCACAGATCGACATTATGATGATTCTGCAAAGTCACTTCAATTTATCACGAAATGAATAAACGAAATATCAGAGTCTGCTGACAGAGATATACAATGCCTTCTTCTTCATGAAATTTTTAAAGGAGCAATGGTATTTTTTGAAAAATTAAAATGTATCAAAAAGTCAAAAAATGATGAAGTTAGTAATGAAGAATTCGATAGTAATACAACTGAGAAAAGTAAAGACCCTAAAGATACGAATTCACATCAAGATAAATCTACAAAAGAAAAGGTGGCAATTCCGGTATCGTTAAGTTTTTTAGGAGTAAAAATCGCTTTTAGATTGAAGAAAGTCAATGTTAGAAAGTTATCAAGTAGTGAAATATATTGTAATGTAATTAAAAAAAATCCGAAACAAATGGGTGAAGCTTTGGTGACTTTACTTTGGCGTTCAAGATCAGAAGTTCGTGAAAATAAGGAGAAATTAGTAATGCCTAATTCTTTAGAGGAATATCAAAATGGTTTTCCATTAGTAATTTCAAAATTTTTTTATGGATTAATAAACACAATTCAAAAAAATAAATGGAAAGTTGTTTTAAGAAAACAGAGAGAAAGAAAAACTTTTGAAAAGGACTATGATGAAACATGTGCTAAAAAAATTTCTATATTTTTTATCTCAGTATTACTATCAATTACGTTTCCAGGATTAGATATATGGTTTACCCATATTCTCAGCTCACTTTGCCAAAAGCCCTGCTTACACACATCTTTGTATTCAATATTGTGCGTAGCAAACGTTGTAGCCCACACCAATAGATATGAGAAATATTTGGAAAAACAATGCTGTGAACAAGTTGACATAAATAGTAAGTTATGGAAAGGAAATAATATATGGAACATTTGTATGGTCGATAATATTGATCTTCAAGAAAGTACGTTTAGCTACAACAATATTTTTGATGTACCACGAAAAACAGCCCATGCTACACTCCGAATGGTAGCTCAATATCAACTTCCACAAAATATATCAAATCTTATAGAATCCTATAATTTAGAACTTTCCGTTTTTCAAGTTGGACAGTCAACATTTATTAACAATGAAACAAAAAAATTACAATCCGTTTTTAATTCATTTGTCGAAAATAAATGGTTAAATTACGATGCCTTTGACATAAAATCTGAGTTGCAAAAAAATGTACCAATAGGTTGCAATATACCGAAGCCAAATATTGTAATTTTAAAACCTGGGGACAATCCATGCAATAATTTAAATGTTCATAAAGCAATAATGATGTACTTTGATGATGTTGGCATTGGAGAAAATAATTTTTTAGATATATCTGCAGACCAGGCAATATTTCGTAGATTAGTACCATTACGCGAAAAAAGACCAGAAATTCGGTTATTACTTGGCAGATGGCACACAAACAAATGTATGTTAAGTACTTTATTAGCGATTTTTTCTGGGTATGGTATATATCAATTAGCGGCTAGTTTGGGGGTTTCTTTTCTTGAAAAGCTTGAGAAAGTTGTAGATTATACAGCTACATGCAGAGTTATTGAATTAATTTGGGTTTCGGTAGGTAGTGCGATTACAGCTTATGTAAAATGCCATAGTAAAAGCATTGAAAGCATTGAATCAGAAAATTATGGTATTTTAAGGGTTTGGTATCAGTTTTTCGTATGGGCAGGATATTGGGTTTGCCACAAGATCGGAATTCGACATGGAAATCACTATATGCAATACTATAGCTTGGCTGCTTTTGCTCCTCTTTTTGCGGTGGCAGGTAGATGCAACTATTCTGAGTCTGTTGTTTATTATTTAGCTCAAATAAGTAGTGATCCAACATTACAAGTTTTATTAGAATATGCGTGTTCAATAAATATAACTAGGTTAGGACATTTTTTAGCAATCGATGAGGCTGTTGAGTCTCTTGGAGTAAAACGTGTAAAACAAAATATTGGAAAGCATTTAGGAACTGAAGAAGATCTAAAAGAAAGAATGGCGGCAGTAGAATTTGAAAGAGAACGTATGAATTTATTGCTAAGTGATTTTATTGATGATCCATCAGTTGTATATACAGAACGCAATTTAAAATCACGAAAGGAATCATCATGGAAATTAACAGTTGATTTATTAGAAGCGTTAAATATGTCTAATCCAGCAAGTCATTCATTATTTCAAAATACATCACAAAATAACAATGAAGGATTTCATAGGCTTTTTGCCTGTTATAACATTGGGAAGGAAAGACTTTACAATATTTACAAACAAGATATAGAGAAGACAGTCGAACGCAATACAACAGGTAGACGTGCTCGTAATATTGTAGTAGATACTATAGCTCAGCAAAAACAGCGGGAATTGCAAGAAAAAGAATCCAAGAAAAAAAAAAGAAAAAATGAAGCTTCAATTGATAAAAAAAGGAAAAAACAAAAAATTGCAAGAAATGAAGATTTTTGTGACGATAAAAGTTTTGATCCAACTACTCAATATCAAACTGAGTGTCAGATGCAGTAATTCTTAGTAACTTAATAGTTTCACGGATTTCATTAATCGGTATTATTATATATTTTCTTAAATTCTAATATTAAAAGATATGAAAATTCATGATTAGTTTAAATGAATCATTATTAATTGAATCAGATACATCTATATTAAACACTCGTAAGTACTTGCAGCTGTGAAAAGTACCTGTAGATTTAGAAAATCATCAGAAATCGAGAGGCAATTATCGTTATTTTGCAGTAGAAGGAGTCAGATGATGCATATGTATTATAAAATGGCAACTATTAAGCAGCTGTGGATCAAATTATTAAATGATGAATAAATACAAAAAACCACTCTTGAACTTAAATAAATCAGTAAAATTGAATTAAATAACCCGATTGATTTAATATTTTGTAAGAAATTAATTATTTTTTAATAATTGTAATAAAATCTTAAAATAGGACATTGTTTTGATTATTAATACGTATAATAAAAAAATTATCAACCTTTGAAACGATTAATTGACTTTTTTTAAATCTATTCAATTTCATTTTAATCACAATAACTAACATAAACATTCTATTATTATCATCATATCAGCCTTTTCCAATACCATTAAAATAACAATAATCAACCATATATACATCTTTGACATTATTTATATCAGCTGATTTTTAGTAATAACTGAATGCTTTTTCGACACTGATGACAACAAAACCAACTATAAATGCTTCTTCAACACGATCCATATCACAGATTTTGAAAGTACACGAATGCTTCGCATCCAATTCCTTTGTAATAATATTGGCCAACCTTGAATATTCTATCTAAATCGCTCATGTCCACAGATTTCACGTAGCATTCGAACTTCTTGCGTTCATCCTATTCAATTTAGATTCACAATGACAGAATAATAATGTATTAGAAAATATAATATTGATCTGAATATCAAGTTCCAACAAGAATGCAAAAGCAATAGTTCACATAAATTTTAATTATTTTGATTCGTTATTAATGCTGTTCACTCATATCTACTAATTAAAGCTACCGTGATATATATTTTTTTTATGTAATCTCATTAAAAAAAAACCTATTTTCAAATAAAATTCTTACCGGTATGCATTCAAATAAAGTGCTAAAATGAATCAGAATGATAAAGAAATTTGGTCATTTAAAAAGGTCATAGATTGTAGAGAATCTTAAAAATTATCTTTCTTTTAGCTGCACGAAAGAGACCTGAATTTAATAGTAAATAAATAAAAGATTTTTATCTTAATTTTGCGCAAATAGAAATTGTTGTGATACAGAATATTTCAAATAATAATGGTAATAAAAATGGTAAACCAATTCGCAAAGCAATATTAAATTTATTTATCGCATAGGGGCAAAAAGTAACTCGAAAATTATATAACAGTCCAGTTTGTGTGACATATCCTCTGAC